AAGCCAAATATTTCGGAATATATTCCATGCTATTGAATAACTATGTACTCGTACCTTGTCTCTTGAGATTCTACTACTCACCAGCGCACTGACGATGCCTACTTGATTGGCGACGGGACATCTTTAACCCATTGACGAGCTCGTTACACAGGTTAGCGGCCAGTCGATCAACCAGTCGTACCCAAGCTTCCGACATTGCCACACACTGACAAGTATTTTGTTATTGATATTAAAGGGCGGCTGAGAGTAAATCCGAAGTTTACACGCGGTTCACTTGCTTATCCTAGTCTATCCATCATTGTAGTTCTTAGCGTGAGACTCATAGTCGCATTCCATTCCCGTTCATTAATTTTGCCAATTGATCCTTGGTTTCTTAGCAGTATCCATGATCAGTAGCAGTTCATTTAAAATATATATGCCTGTACGGGAAACTGTAGCACTTGGATGTTTGTGTGTGACAACTTTCATGCAACCTTCATGGAACTTTCATACACAAACGAGCATAGTATTTCCTCAGAGCCTGAACAACGCAACATTTCTCTGGAACCAGTGCAACTCCAGACCACACACGGAACGACGTGAGCAAGAATGTGACAGTTGAAACCAGAAAACGGACACGGTCATTGATGTCCGGTTGTTTTCACGTTGACTCAGAATTCGTGTGACACTCCAATCGGACTAGGAAATAGTCGCAGTTAAATCCGCAAAGGAAATCGTCTCCCACAAATTGCGTCAGTTGGGTGAAATCCGTAGAAAAACAACAGTATTTCAATCGGAATCGCAATCATTCTAATCTGTTACCTCAGTTCTTTGGAGCCATGAGCTGGATTATGTGCGGTTCAACAACGTCGCTGGGTTAGTATAATTGAGGAAATAGAGCGCGAATTTACTGACTGGAATGTTTGTGGTTCGAAGCAGACTTCAGCCTCTCGACGTCTCGTGTCTAGGCTTGGGCAGTTCGACAGTATCTCAGCCCTCGTGCTACCTTCTGATGGCATGGCAGCCAGGTGCCAAAAGTGTGTTACACCTGAAGGATTTAGTTTGCTACCTTAGCTGTTCAACTGACACTGAGCTGTTATCAGTGCGGGGCAGATGTGCGAAAAACCCCAAACCGTTATCCCCTGCATGTCACTTGGTCAGTGGGAATGGAATGAAGTAACCGAATTATTCATTGTTGCAATAAGTAGAAGCGATATTCAGTGCGTGAGAGATGTTTCACACTTTGCCGTATTAGGCCACCGCGTAAAACATGGATGATAGAATTCGCTCGTGGTCAGATAAGCACTGTTAGGTACACTTGTTTGTGCCAGTTTTATTTGTCTTCAAGTCTGTCAGCAACAATGAAACAGTATTTTTCAGTAAGAAGACGGTTTAGCTGGCCCGCGCCTGAGATCTGCAGAGGAGAATCACTGTTAAAAACAGGGGAATCGAGCTTATTCCGACGAGATCTCCTTCATAGCAGTGACCGAATATTTTGTTTTTCATATGTTTTGCGTCCCCATGTGGGCCTAATGACATTGGTGCGTGGAATTTCGAGGTTTCATATTAACTCGGTTGTAGAACCAATGGAATAAGGAGTGGTAAGAAGGTGTCGTACCGGTCGATATTGGGCATCTTTCATTATTCTAGTGAAAAAGACATAATGCCACATTCCAGAACTTGAGTTGAGTAATTCAGTCGGCAGCGAAAACAAGTCGGATGGGAAAACACGTGAGTAGAATGTCGGGGAAATCGAACTACCGAGGCACCATACACTTATACTACTCACAGTGTGTGGAGTGAGCTGCTTAGGTTGGTCACAAAATGGTAACTACTTGGTGGGGTTGTCCTGGTCAACCTCTGTTTATTCCTATCTTCATTACACTGGACGACTATATGGCGAAAAGCTTGTATTCCAGTCTGATTTCTGTGTGGCGCAGTGAAGGAAATTGAATTGAGGATAACTTGGATACCATAAGAAGCCACGCGAAATCACTCAGCCTATGTATTCGGTCTTGTGAAAGAAGCCACAATCACTCAGCCTATGTATTCGGTCTTGTGATTTCAGCGCCAGATAAGCCGACGGACATCCAGCTCCACAGATTAGAACAAACACAATGGATGGTCTCATGGAATGACAGTTCGGAATGTCAAAACTACTCCGGATATCACTATACTGTGACGATCTACGACACGGACAATCACCGGTTGATTGAACAAAACACTACCGATCGCTCGTTCACAGTGGAGGATTTGGACTGGTGCTCGCAATACTGGGTGCATATTCAGGCAATCGGACCCACAGGACTGAGTAACGAATCGACGCTTCTGAAATACCAGGAATCCGTAGGTGAGTGTGATCACATGTTTCGTAAATTGCCGCGTAAATTCCTGGATAATGGAGCGACGAGCCGTTTCGGATATTCATTTGGATTTTGCGGCATCCCCATTTCCGTACGGATTTGGCGATTCTGGTCACCATCGAAGCATCTTCGGTCATTTCCACAATCTTGGTGGAAAATGCAGTCAGCACTCAGAAATATCATGCGCCTCATGCGCGGACAGCAGAAACCAAAATGTGCTGAAATATTCTCTCTAGAATGTCCAAATAATAGAATCTGTTTTCACAGTTGGTAAGACGAGTTTTCACAATAACCCACAGTGCTCTCCTACTGCAATTCTCCGTGTGAATGAGTGAATTTTTGGATAGCTCCACATAGCTTGAATAGTTTCATTCACGATAGAGGTCATCGCGTTGCCGAAAAAATTTATAGTATAGTAATATTTACTCAGTTATCGAAAGCGGAGGTCGGAATGTCGCATTTTTGCACATTTTTCGGCAGAAGCGCATATGGTATGTAAATTTTAGATGAGGTTATCCCACGAATTTCTGAATGGGCATGCGTGATGGTAATGAAGTCGATTTCAAGAAGTTAGTGTAAATGCCTTGGTCAAACTTCCGTCATGAGTGATAGGAACGTGTCTTATTTTTTAGCTCCCATGTCCCCGACGAATATCCAGCTTCGTAGCACTGGACCTCAGAAATGGCTGATAGCTTGGAATGACGACACGGATTGTCAAAACTCTGCAGCATACCATTACGTTGTGATAACATACGATCAGAAGCAACAAATCGTTAATAAGTTGAACGTTAGCGATCGGCAAACGACACTGGATGGTTTGGACGGTTGTTCCGAATACTGGGTGACGATTCGGGCCATTGGAATAGAAGGGCCGAGCAACGAGTCGCGTGCAGTAAAGATCCACTCCACCTCAGGTGAGCACCAAGAAAATTTCAGCCAATTAACCAAAAATTGAACAAAAACGGCGATGTCGGAACCCCAGTTTATCCCCCCGACCTTGTATTTTCAGCACCAAGCGCACCGACGGACATTCAGATCCGCAAATATGAACAGACCAAATTGATGGTATCATGGAATGACAGTTCGGAATGTCGAAACTACTCAGGACATCACTATACTGTGGCGGTATACGACAATCAAATGCAACTGGTAGATGAGCTGAACACTACAGATCTGTCAGTGACATTGGTTGATTTGGACTTGTGTTCGGAATACTGGGTGACCGTTCGAGCAGTTGGACCTGGGGGCCACAGCAACGAGTCGGGTGCAGTTAAGATCGACGCCGTCTCAGGTGAGTATGAGGTTAATTTCAACCAACTGTACTTGAAACTCTTTATTATGTTTCGGGTATTTCTTTTAGTGACTCTTTCTTCCGCGCTAGCTTTGCACTTGTTCACTTGCCTCGTTTTCTTTCAAGAACGTTGATAAATTACAGTTTGTTTGTTTGACTGGTGCAGAGAATTGGCGAAAGAATCTTTTACCCGCGACGGGTATGTTTAGGTGCTCTTATTTCACAAAGTCCAGACAACCTAATACAACAGACATTCAGAGACGCTTGACTCTTTTTTTCAATGTGTGACATGGTGTTTGCTTGAACGTCCTTGAGGGAGATTTTGAATGAATGTCCTTTTTTGGTAAGCGTTCAGTCTACCACATAGCGATCGCTGACAGATTCAAGCCCGCACATGTGATCAGATTACTGTTCAGATTATAGGTTTGCTATCTGGGATTGCAAGCAGAACACGTACCTAACAAGTACTAAACAGGACAAAGCCGTTGTTGAACTGTTTCAGGATTTGGAGATACCGTTTCTTACTATTCAATTCGAAGGTAAACTCGATTGGATATTATGCTCCTAACCATGGGAGAGTCCATCAATTCTCATGTATCAATGATTCGCTTGAATTGCCCTTGAATTTTCAGTAAATCTGCTGTTAACGTCAGAACTTTTTCCTTAGCTTTTTAGGGAACCACCCCTTTTTGATGAATCCTGAACGGTGGCAGTATGTTGACACTATTGGTAGATGTGGTCTGTCTGGTCAACACCCAGCGGAACTGAGAGTCTCCGTAGGTTCCGGGCATTCAGTGGTTGCTTTCAGGACGCTGACCTTCCTGATAAAAACAAACATTAGAATACGTGTTATGGTGGCCTCGACGCAGCGAACGGTGCAACCCGTCCAATAACTTGTTGGGAAACTCTTTTGCCAGAAGCCAAATATTTCGGAATATATTCCATGCTATTGAATAACCATGTACTCGTACCTTCTCTCGGGAGATTCTGCTACTCACCAGCGCACTGACGATGCCTACTTGATTGGCGACGGGACATTTTTAATCCATTGACGAGCTCGTTACACAGGTTAGCGGCCAGTCGATCAACCAGTCGTACCCAAGCTTCCGACATTGCCACACACTGACAAGTATTTTGTTATTGATATTAAAGGGCAGCTTCACATGTGGCTTACCAAATCGTTTCCACGTATGTTCACTGAGCAGCGTGATGTCGGAGCCCATATCAAGCATACAAGCATATCAGGCACCATGCAATTATACTAATCAGAGAGTGTGGTGGGGGCTGCTTAGTTTAGTGAAAAACTGGTAACTACTTCGTCAAGGTTGGGTTGTCCTGGTTAACCTCAGTTGATTCTCATCTTCATTTCAGTAGTTGATAGTTCAGCCATATTTGATTGTGGCACAATGAGTGGAAGTCAATCGAGCTAAAATTCACTTCTATAGAAATTATGAATCACTCCTACATGAGAGCCCAAATTGGGCCACGTGAGATCACTCAGCCTATGTATTCGGTCTTGTGATTTCAGCGCCAGATAAGCCGACGGACATCCAGCTCCACAGATTAGAACACACCAAATGGATGGTCTCATGGAATGACAGTTCGGAATGTCAAAACTACTCCGGATATCACTATACTGTGACGATCTACGACACGGACAATCACCGGTTGATTGAACAAAACACTACCGATCGCTCGTTCACAGTGGAGGATTTGGACTGGTGCTCGCAATACTGGGTGCATATTCAGGCAATCGGACCCACAGGACTGAGTAACGAATCGACGCTTCTGAAATACCAGGAATCCGTAGGTGAGTGTGATCACATGTTTCGTAAATTGCCGCGTAAATTCCTGGATAATGGAGCGACGAGCCGTTTCGGATATTCATTTGGATTTTGCGGCATCCCCATTTCCGTACGGATTTGGCGATTCTGGTCACCATCGAAGCATCTTCGGTCATTTCCACAATCTTGGTGGAAAATGCAGTCAGCACTCAGAAATATCATGCGCCTCATGCGCGGACAGCAGAAACCAAAATGTGCTGAAATATTCTCTCTAGAATGTCCAAATAATAGAATCTGTTTTCACAGTTGGTAAGGCGAGTTTTCACAATAACCCACAGTGCTCTCCTACTGCAATTCTCCGTGTGAATGAGTGAATTTTTGGATAGCTCCCCATAGCTTGAATAGTTTCATTCACGGTAGAGGTCATCGCGTTGCCTTTAAAATTTATATTATGCTAATGTTTACTCAGTTATCGAAAGCGTAGGTCGAAATGCCGCAGTTTTGCAAATTTTTCGGCAGAAGCGCATATGGTATGTAAATTTTAGATGAGGTTATCCCACGAATTTCTGAATGGGCATGCGTGATGGTAATGAAGTCGATTTCAAGAAGTTAATGTAAATGCTTTGGTCAAACTTCCGTTATGAGTGATAGGAACGTGTCTTATTTTTTAGCTCCCATGTCCCCGACGAATATCCAGCTTCGTAGCACTGGACCTCAGAAATGGCTGATAGCTTGGAATGACGACACGGATTGTCAAAACTCTGCAGCATACCATTACGTTGTGATAACATACGATCAGAAGCAACAAATCGTTAATAAGTTGAACGTTAGCGATCGGCAAACGACACTGGATGGTTTGGACGGTTGTTCCGAATACTGGGTGACGATTCGGGCCATTGGAATAGAAGGGCCGAGCAACGAGTCGCGTGCAGTAAAGATCCACTCCACCTCAGGTGAGCACCAAGAAAATTTCAGCCAATTAACCAAAAATTGAACAAAAACGGCGATGTCGGAACCCCAGTTTATCCCCCCGACCTTGTATTTTCAGCACCAAGCGCACCGACGGACATTCAGATCCGCAAATATGAACAGACCAAATTGATGGTATCATGGAATGACAGTTCGGAATGTCAAAACTACTCCGGATATCACTATACTGTGACGATCTACGACACGGACAATCACCGGTTGATTGAGCAAAACACTACCGATCGCTCGTTCACAGTGGAGGATTTGGACTGGTGCTCGCAATACTGGGTGCATATTCAGGCAATCGGACCCACAGGACTGAGTAACGAATCGACGCTTCTGAAATACCAGGAATCCGTAGGTGAGTGTGATCACATGTTTCGTAAATTGCCGCGTAAATTCCTGGATAATGGAGCGACGAGCCGTTTCGGATATTCATTTGGATTTTGCGGCATCCCCATTTCCGTACGGATTTGGCGATTCTGGTCACCATCGAAGCATCTTCGGTCATTTCCACAATCTTGGTGGAAAATGCAGTCAGCACTCAGAAATATCATGCGCCTCATGCGCGGACAGCTGTACTTGAAACTCTTTATTATGTTTCGGGTATTTCTTTTAGTGACTCTTTCTTCCGCGCTAGCTTTGCACTTGTTCACTTGCCTCGTTTTCTTTCAAGAACGTTGATAAATTACAGTTTGTTTGTTTGACTGGTGCAGAGAATTGGCGAAAGAATCTTTTACCCGCGACGGGTATGTTTAGGTGCTCTTATTTCACAAAGTCCAGACAACCTAATACAACAGACATTCAGAGACGCTTGACTCTTTTTTTCAATGTGTGACATGGTGTTTGCTTGAACGTCCTTGAGGGAGATTTTGAATGAATGTCCTTTTTTGGTAAGCGTTCAGTCTACCACATAGCGATCGCTGACAGATTCAAGCCCGCACATGTGATCAGATTACTGTTCAGATTATAGGTTTGCTATCTGGGATTGCAAGCAGAACACGTACCTAACAAGTACTAAACAGGACAAAGCCGTTGTTGAACTGTTTCAGGATTTGGAGATACCGTTTCTTACTATTCAATTCGAAGGTAAACTCGATTGGATATTATGCTCCTAACCATGGGAGAGTCCATCAATTCTCATGTATCAATGATTCGCTTGAATTGCCCTTGAATTTTCAGTAAATCTGCTGTTAACGTCAGAACTTTTTCCTTAGCTTTTTAGGGAACCACCCCTTTTTGATGAATCCTGAACGGTGGCAGTATGTTGACACTATTGGTAGATGTGGGATCCAGTATTGCTCCCGAAATATCATTGGTTGCATTAATTAGGGCTACTTGAAAATTAAGAATCCTCTTTCTTCATGAGTTCATCGGTCGTTTTATTCCATCAATTAACACATAACAGCTTGTGAAAAGGGCATATTTTAATCTGAAGTGACACATTTGTGTGGATGACTTTCATAAAACTCTGTTTATCACAGTTGAGGCTATTGGCCAACCGCGTGTTCCAGAAAAGTCTGTTGATCACGCGACGGCTATGCTTCAAAGGAATTCATCCATATGTTTGCCAGAACAACATTCGAAATGGGTCTTGCCATTGTTTTGCCGTTCGAGACATTTTGGTAAATATATATATATCATACGACCAATACGGTCTTAGCTGGAAGATGTTGCTTGAGAGTTTTAAAGGAATTGTTTGCCAGCTAATTGAGAACCGCGTGGGTATTCGATGGGGGTTGGCTCCACAGGAACGTATAATTTTTAGCCGTGGATTCGTTTACCAAATATTCCTACGATGTCGGGCTGGCTCCTCATGCGCGCTTTTGTTCCCGTGAGAGGACGTGGTAGCCGAGTGTAGAACCACTAAAGGCAATTTAGAAAGAGGATATCTTGAATTTTGTTTTGCTGATCTAGCCCACCATTTTGGGAAGTTGTTTTGTGTACTTTCGAGACAAATGCTAGGGTGGATTGTGGCATACGCACATTTTGTTTGAGAGGTAACCTGTGTGTGTATTCAATGCTATAATGCTATATAATTTGTCAAGTTGAAGACCATTTAAACGGAATGTGCAAAACTGCACTTGATAAGACACCGATTTACAGAATAAACACATTAGTGCGAGCCACCAAATGTTTACACCAGTATTCATGATGAAACTGTGGCCTACGAATAACTCATGTGTCTCAAATAGCATGACTAATCACACCCAGGTGTGTCTTCGACCCATTTGATTCTCAGCCAGGAGTTCACGAATTCCTGGGATTTGCGGGGTCGACCAGAATCTTTGCTGCTTATGTAACTATTTCGATCACTATAACTCATACGGTTAGATGGGAAATCTTTTTCAGCGAACACGCTCCAATAGACAGCTTAGATAAACTTGTTGTTTTCACAGTTTGCATGATCCCTTTGCACGGGCTATAAAACTTTGTGACCAACAAAGCATAAACTGATTTTTGGGGTTCCCAATACGGAACTTTGAGTGACGCGTAGGTTCGACAATCCCGAATATCAAAAGGAAGAATTGGGTTCGTAATTCCACGGTACTATTTACACAAGGGTAAGCGTCAGCAAGTTCACAGGTCCGTCACTGACCGGCACAGTGCAGTGTCAACGTCCGCACACCAAACAACGGCGAGCGGAATGGTGGCTCGGTAGCGTAGGTTGCGGCCGTCCCTTTCGACGACGGTCTCGTGATTCTCATTGGATGTGCGACCACACGGAACTCATGAGAAAACAGGTCAAGGCAGGCTCAGCAAATGGGACGTGAACGCACATAGGTAAGTAAGCAGCGCACATTCACACACATTCACACATGTCGATACACAAGAGTCGGAAAGGACGGCCTCTGCGGCAAGGTGAGTGTCGTGTACGCATAAGCAAAACAACTGGAAATCAAAAGTACATCGGCGGAGTAAGCAAACAAATGGGGAGAATTATCATAAGGTCAAGTTAGATTCATTGGATGTGCGACCACACGGAACTCATGAGAAAACAGGTCAAGGCAGGCTCAGCAAATGGGACGTGAACGCACATAGGTAAGTAAACAGCGCACATTCACACACATTCACACATGTCGATACACAAGAGTCGGAAAGGACGGCCTCTGCGGCAAGGTGAGTGTCGTGTACGCATAAGCAAAACAACTGGAAATCAAAAGTACATCGGTCGGCGGAGTAAACAAATGGGGAGAATTATCATAAGGTCAAGTTAGATGCAACACTGATGTTGATACGACTGCAGATGGTAACAAATCCATCCAGTCAGAAATGGTATAGAGACGCCAATTTCATGATCGCTCGGTATTGCGTGACAGATGAACCCCATGGAATGTATCAAGACTACATTCACATTGGCGTGTAAATTTTCTTCGTATAGCCTGAAGTGAGATTCTTGTGTTTAAGTCAGCCGCCGTTTCCCAAACGTTCAATAGAGCAGGGCTATCTTGGGGACGTGATCTGCAGTGATAATACCCCAGAGACACTCTAACACTGATTTTATCACCTGAAAAAACTCAGCTACTCCATTCATCGGACCCACATGCCCATGGGTCGTTGGCTATTTCCACTGTTCTTACGCCGTGTTCACCCTTCACTGTTCATTATAATCAGCATCCGGCAAAGTCCCGTTCACGTAAATTAAAACACAAACGAGTATTGTAGCGCGCATCTCGGTACTATTCTCACATTACGGCGAAACGAAAACTCAAAATTACGCCTTGTGCAACCCCCTTATACATCTTAACAAAAGAACCGGTGTTTGGCGACGATATTAATATTCATCGGTTCATAAGAAATATTTGAACATGTAATTTAAGTCTCATACATGCTCAATACCCGTCCATGATTTTCGAAATTTCTCTCCGATTTTAAGTCTGCGTGTACAAAAACCCTAATTTTATATTCCCAATTAACCACTTGTTGTAACTTACTGGACGGTAGTGCAACTCTGCATCGGTCCCTTGGCTTCCTGCTCCACCCACTATAGTATATCAAAAGGCACGGCTGTTCTACACAGCCCTTTATGGAGACAAAGGAAAATTATTGCAACTGTATTTATGGGGTAGTCACAGGGTGATCCACAAGGTCGTGCCAGAATCTCCGTGAGGGGGCGAGAAGCGTCGAATCAAAGGTGCTTGACTCGGACTGGCTGACATTCTGACCAATCAGGGTATGCCTTGGTTTGTCCCGTGCCCTGCACGTGACACATCCGTCCAAATGATGCGGTGTTCGGTTATTAGGGACGGCTGGCCTCCGCACACCACGGCAAGTGATTTGTTTTGAAAATCTCTCCGAATGAATGGACAGCAGCATACTACTCTTTTCTTATGAGTACTATTCAGCTATGACAACAATCTTCGATGGTGTTTGAATGCACGTACACACAACAATTGATTGATAGTGTCATGTTGGGTGGGGTTTTTCTAACGGTCTGGTGAACCGGTGACTGCTTGCCCGTCAATATGCGACAACTACACATCTCTGACACTCTAATCGAATCCAAGGGCATCCGAAGAATTAAAAGGAAAGCCACAGACCGATTGTTTACCAAACCTATTTGAACCGATGACTTCCCAATCGGTCCCAAACATTTTCCAATTGACTGAGCCATAGACTAGCTTTGCGTAATAGTAGGTATGTTTCCCATTCTTCCATGGGGATCGCGGACGTGATCACCGGTGTTTATCGGCGATTTTCGCTCCTGATCTACAAGTATCTCGTTCCAGTCAAAGTGAATGTCTCGGTTGCAAAATGGTTTGGTTGATGATCAGCACCCAATTGGATGACCCAAATTCGAACACAAGAAACCAAAATTTCGCACAATATTCCCTTTGGAATTCAGCATTCAGAGAATCTGTGTACACAGTTAAAACAACTAATTTTGACGAATGCTGATGTGATGAGGTTCTCAAAATGTCACCTTCTCAAACGAGCTAGGGCATCCCAAAACAACATTTGCTCAGTTTTGACAGGCATGATCGAATGACCTAGTTAAGGTCTGTTAATGCGTGACTCTCTCTCACTGTGAAATATTCCATTTCCACTGGTATTTCGAGCATACTCGTCGCATTGCGGTTTATGTGACGGGTGGAAATAAGTTTTTTTCCAGAATCCAACCAACAAAGCTATTCTCCTCTCCTATAAGAAGCAATTCATTCCACATTTATGCAGTTCAACACGGACCACGAATCGAACGATAGAGCTTTGAATGTGCTGCGCATAGAATTAGACTGGTTTGTCTTCGAGCAAGCGGCAGTGGTCGTGAGTGAACATGGTCATGCGGTATAAAGATTTCGGCCTAGTCAGGGTTTGGGGTAGCACCAGAACTCCTAGGAACATCAAGCGTTTGTAAGTCTAGTTTATTAGAAAACAGTGTGGGTCATGTCGAATCCATCGGGTTATGCTCTCTTACCTGTGTTTTCAGCGCCAAGCAGTCCGACGGGCGTTCAGGTCCGCAGATATGAACACACCAAATTGATGGTATCATGGAATGACAGTTCGGAATGGCGAAACCATTCCGGATATCACTATAGTATATGACAGACAAATCCAGCTGGTAGATGAACGAAACACTAGCGGTCATTCAGTGACATGGGATGATTTGGACTTGTGTCCGGAATACTGGGTCACTGTTCGGGCAATCAGATCTGCAGTGCGGAGTAACGAGTCGACGGCTGTGCGAATCTCTGGACGCGCGGGTAAACGCGTAATTATTGTTGACTTGTTTGTTTCTGTCAGCCGCAACCCTCGAATTTTCCTAGTTGATTTCTACTTCCATTGATTTACACACGAACTAATCCGCAATAACTGTTGTGCATATTCGCTTTCTTGAGGATTCTTTGTCGTAAAACCTAGAAGAGTACATTGCTATGTGTAAGGATTTTCGATTCTCAGTATCTGTTTTTTTATATAGCCCCTATATTTATTGGGTATCACATCAGGCTAGTAGCGTACACTCAGAAATCTGAAATGCGTTTCTTTGCCTTCCGTGTTCAAACTGGCCGCTCTACTCAAACTTTAGGAAATTCAAAGATTGTCACGTCACTGCCCAACCCTCTTCATGCGTGTCATGCTGGGTCTCTTTTTACGATTGCATGGAATTCGTACGTTCTTTGGTCCCAGCAATGACTGTTTCTGTACATGACACTGGGTGACTCAAAACAGTTGATGGGACCACCAGTGACAACTGTCCGCTTTGTAATCCTGTACATGTTTTCAATTCCGATTCAAGCAGCGAGGTACACAGGGAGTAGGTCACATTAACCTTGATTATAGCCCTGTAAGAACAACTGATACATCTTACGGTCAAAGATTTAGATATGCCTCATTCTGTGTTGTAAATACCAGCACATTCAAGAACCATTTTACGTCAGCAAGCTATTCTCATGATACAGATTAGTTCGAGACGGACCGATCGGTTTCCGCGTAGCTTTAGGTGCGCCACATTTCGCTCTAACAGTATTTCCCATTCGGAATAACTTCAAACGTCAGGGAGGCCACAAAACCTGTCCACAAGTGTACTCCAACGATACGAAAATGGCTCTGTCAGAGTGAACATCTCATGGACGTACAAGTCCGAGTGCAACTACACTGGATTCCGTGTCGTCTACGTCACTCCTGCTGGCGAGAATATCATGAGATCAACTCGAAACATGTATGTGCTTATTCGCTGGGGACATTACTGTCAGCCAATCAAGTTTCGAATCAGGGCAATCACATCCTCGAAAAAAGCAGTCTGGCATAAACAGGTGATCCACTTAAATCAAGGTAAGTTGAGGTAGAGTTTTCAACTGCTAATTAATTATTTACTATAAATCTTAGAATGCTTTACTTTGTGAAACGTTTCGTGCAGTTTCACCCAATGTACTTGTTTGTTTTGGTGGCACCTGGAGGCGCTTATCTACTTGATCTCTTGTTGATTGTCGTGACTCATTTTCGGGTTTCATTTCGCATCCATGCCGCAAACACAGTATGCGTTCTTCTCCCTTATAAGCATTCACTAGTCACGTGTGACCTGAACAGTATAAGTGGTGGAAAATGTGTGATATTCAGCCAATCAGTTAACTAGGTATCTTTCCACAATTTCGCTGAAATTCAACTGACCAGTTTGTTGAAGTGCAAGACATTCACTTTCAGGTTTCTCGATGAAACGGCATTGGAAGTCTGATATTAATCACCTGTCGTCTACGCCTGCTGGCGAGAATATCATGAGATCAACTCGAAACATGTATGTGCTTATTCGCTGGGGACATTACTGTCAGCCAATCAAATCAACTCAAACATGTATGTGCTTATTCGCTGGGGACATTACTGTCAGCCAATCAAGTTTCGAATCAGGGCAATCACATCCTCGAAAAAAGCAGTCTGGCATAAACAGGTGATCCACTTAAATCAAGGTAAGTTGAGGTAGAGTTTTCAACTGCTAATTAATTATTTACTATAAATCTTAGAATGCTTTACTTTGTGAAACGTTTCGTGCAGTTTCACCCAATGTACTTGTTTGTTTTGGTGGCACCTGGAGGCGCTTATCTACTTGATCTCTTGTTGATTGTCGTGACTCATTTTCGGGTTTCATTTCGCATCCATGCCGCAAACACAGTATGCGTTCTTCTCCCTTATAAGCATTCACTAGTCACGTGTGACCTGAACAGTATAAGTGGTGGAAAATGTGTGATATTCAGCCAATCAGTTAACTAGGTATCTTTCCACAATTTCGCTGAAATTCAACTGACCAGTTTGTTGAAGTGCAAGACATTCACTTTCAGGTTTCTCGATGAAACGGCATTGGAAGTCTGATATTAATCACCTCTTATATATTGCGAATATACTCACAAATTCTAACAGTCACCTGTCGCCATGAGGTCATTTTCAGAAATTTGCATGCTAACATCTGGTCTAAGTTCCTACTTAATGTAATCTTTCCAAAGTCGTAAACATCGTCTTTGGACGGTGGAATGAGCTCTATGACCTCAGTCTGAGTTGATAGAGCGAAGATTGTCTTCAATGGTGATGAGCTGTCTTGGAGTTTTGTGTCGACCTGTGACAGCACACTCAGATCTCTCATTCCTCTGGATCTTGTTGAGACAACACCGGTGAATATATACAACTCGTGCTGTTCAACTACTGTCCTAACGGCCAGTCGCATGTGAGGGATATTCACAAATGTTGCTACCTATGAAAACGCGTACATACTCACCGACGCATCGATCTACCGCAGGATCACTGATGTCACCTCGTCTCTAGCGACACAACTGCCATCAAAATAGCTTCTAATCGTTTAGTTGTGGTAAGCAGTTGATTTATTCTATCAGTGAAATCGTATGCTGTGCTGCACTCGTACGGTCACGAACAACTGTACGAATGAGACTGGTTGAACTGGAAGGATGTATCCCATTTTGTATGTGAAAATTTACACCGCTGGGTTGCACAATCACACTTTTTCTAATCTTCCTAACGTGTTCAGGAGCAACGAAACCGACAAACGTTCAAGTCCACAGAACTGAACTCCAGAAATGGTCCGTTTTTTGGAATGCCACTTCCGATTGTCAAGAATATCCAGGATATCATTACATAGTGACAGTCTACGATAAACAATATCAAATAGTCACCCAAAAGAACGTTACTGATGAATCAGTGGTACTTGAGGGTTTTCAGTTGTGCACAGACTACTGGGTGCGTGTTCGGACAAGCCATTCAGGAGTGAAGAGCAAAGAATCGGATCCCGTGAAGCTGTACGAAATCCCAGGTGAGTTAGAGCAAAACCGAGGTCTGGAAGCTTCTCTGACACTTCAATTAAACGATGCAATATTTTTCATTGAGTTTGATTTTGCTCTACCCCAAGTCTGCTCTGTCGTTTTCAACGCAACCACGAACACGAGTGAGACTGGAGTTGTTTAGCTTTATAGCTGTTTCTCAAGGTTCTTTAGATTAGAAGCCGCCACTTATTCTGATATCTAATAAAGGAAGACATTTGTATACACGATGAAGCGTAATTCTCACCCAGTGTTATCAGTGCAAGTGCACACTATGACATGGAGGTAACAGTGTCCTTGTGATTTGCCGCATGGTATCAAAATCGAGATGAATCCAACATGCTAGTTCTAATCCCTGGACTGGTCTTTCATTCTTATTGAAGCGTATGCAGAATGACGTCCTGCTTAACTAGGCATTCATGGAAGGCTGCATTTTCTATAGAGGAGAATGTCGGTAGCTCAGGTAGCGTAGATGGTGGTCGTTGGCTTGTTCGCTGAGCTGGGCAATTTGGTTGCAAACGTTTCATCACCAATCGAGGTGACATCATCAGTGCGTAGTTGTGCGTAGCGGTGGGTTAGTGGGTGTGCGCATTATTCCGGAAAATGTGCCAATACATGAGGTAGTCTATGGGAAATTACAGAAAAATTTAATGGAGGATTTCGGAACGCTTTTAATTCTTGACAAGCCCAATTCTACTGGAACTCACCCCATGCATGTACATCTACCCCCCAACCTTTTGCACAAAGTCTGAGCGTTCTGCCAACTGACACCGACGTATTATACAAAACGTCTAACTAAAATAGTCATATTTTGTTCATCGCACTTGTACATGGCTTTCGTATTCCGAAGACCAACATCTACCCGTTTAGGGTTATCCTATCCTGTCCTAATCCAGGTTACTTCAACTGCTCCAGTTCAAAAGTAACTCGAAGCAGCATTGCTTGAAATGTACTTACTTCCACCAATCGCCAATCATGTTTGAAGCAAACTGGCATGCGTTAAGCCAATAGACTCGTTCCACCTTGGCAAATTTGCTTCGATTGAATTTTCGACCACTGGTGGTGCATTGCAAGCTATTCTGAGTGATTTTGCTACTAGATTTATTTACTCCGTACTTTGTTAAACTTTGCAGCCCCCAAAACACCTACTAACCTCCGAATCTACAGAGCTGAAGGGTTACAAAATTGGCTACTATTTTGGGATGACAGCTCCGAATGTCAGACACATCCAGACTACCACTATATTCTGAGCGTATACAATCTGTATTATCAGCGCGTGCTCCAGGGAAACGTCAGTGAAAGGTATGTGACAATGGAGAACTTTTACGTATGCGCTGGATTCTGGATTCGTGTCAGATCGATCGCATCATGGGGACAAAGTGAAGATTCGCTGGCAGTCAAGCTATCCGATTTTACAGGTGGGTACAAATCCCTTCGTAAACGGTACGAATATATTTCTTCTTTGTGTAGACCCCCTCCTGCCCCACTCAATCACTGCAAACCTGCAAACTCATTTGCCAGAAAACATCAGAGAGCACCTTAATGGAGATACGACGGCCAAACAGTTCACTTGTCAAAATCAATAACACTGACAGAATGTGGTACCAAGGTATCTGTTGACAGTTTATAAAACAAACTCAAGAATCCCTCTGCACAAATGTCCAGCGGGTCTCAGAGAGTGTCTCGATTTGTCCTTAAGCATTCGGACGCAAGTCGGAAGTTTGACGGCTGTCAGAATGACATCCACGCTGAAGTCTTCCCTTCCTTGTGATTTCCATTTCACGCGTATCAGTCATGTCTGTAGTGTGGACAGGCCTAATTCTCAGAATGTTTGGCAAACTGCAAACTATAAAACGTCCGCCAGTGACTCAACTGACTATTCAAAGCTCTTGACAGCCTTGAAAGTGAAAAACAGATGTTTTCTGTCCTGTGCTTTCAACCAGAACTGAAACAGAGTGTGAAAGTGGTCTTTCCACTCTTGACTTTCGTATTTTTTCCATACGCAGTCGTCACATCCTGGCAACCAGAGTATCACCATTCAGTATACGTCCAGTTTTCAGTGTTACCGGGTAGTGTCCTCTGGTCATTTATCGCAGTCTAACCAACCGGATTTAGACCCACTTGAGCAAAGTATTTCGCTCATTTTACTCACCTTAAGGTGTGACCAACAACCCCTCTTTTCTGCTGCACTCATTTACGACTTCCCGTTAGCTTATTAAGCAGAATGCAATGTTTAACTCACTAAAGAGGAGTTTATTCACGTACAATGTGTGTGTGAAAAAATCTTCAAGCTCACTCTTTGATCCATACAGTGAAATTCTGATCCGAAAATTTTTATGCGACGTTTGTAAAAACTTTCCATGCGTTTGAGTGAAGGCTTATCTTCACCGGGTGATCCTGACGGATGTCTAAACGGTGATTCTTCCCGAACAGTGAGCGCATTAACCTGCCTCCTCGATAGAGGATATTGTATCAACGCTGCAGTTAGGTTTTGATCCATTCACGAAAATTCATCAAGGTCATCAATAGTAAATGTCTCTTTTGTGAGAAAACACTATCGCAAGAAACCTCGGAATAAGGCTCTGCTCAGTGGTCGCTTACATGAAATGGGTGCATTCGTGTCGGGAGTCAACAGGTTTTCCCGAAGAACAATTTCTGTGAGGCTAAATGACAAAAAACAACAATTAGCTTTTCACGAAGGCCTATTCATGAAGCCGAGCATTGCATACCGGAAATGAAAGACTTTTCGTTGAAACATGATGGAAAACAATTAGTTTAGCGGAGCGTGGGATATTCACATTAATGCTCAGCCGGACGGGTCGGTTTATCAAGGAAACGCGCACAACAACGAACGGGCGATCATAAATAGCGTCACAGTTCCGAATCCAGACAATGACGAACGACAACGTGTGAGAGATGATGCTTCATGTTGCCGTAAGCTTTTGGACACTTCTAAATTCATTGGCGTATGTATTTACGGGCTTCAAAACTTTGTGCGACCTCAAAATATCCAGCCGTTTCTATGGTATGATGACTTTATACTACTGAGCAGCTGGATTGATCCCAGGTCACTCGGTTGTTCAGTTTTATCTGTTCTACATTTATGTCTAGCTAGACAGAACCAGCTTAAACATCCCGTCATTCTGACCCAGAGGATTATCTAGATAATCGCAAAACTGTTTTCATTAGTTTTCCTTGAATATTTTCAGGATAATTTGATGCATAAAATCAATAAAATGCCAGAAGACTCCACCCTTTTCATATTCTCCCGTCTACCGTATTTGCAGCACCAAAACCGCCGACTAATTTTCGGATGGAAAGAAACACAGAATCTCATGCTTGGTGTCTCTCCTGGGACGATAGCTCCGAGTGCCAAACACATCCAGGTTACCACTATATTGTGGGTATCTCCGATCGATATGATCAACGAACGCTTCAGAGAAGAGTGAGAAATAAATACATCATGTTGGATGACTTTTACGTGTGCGCCGACTTCCGAGTTCGTATTAGATCGGTCGGATTTGGAAAACAAAGTATGGAGTCGCCTGCAGTTAGGCTATCCGAATTCTCGGGTGAGTGGTTCACACAAATATAGACCTAAAATTGATGCTCAACTGCAGTTGCATTAAGGAAGACCGAAAGTCGGTTAATGTTTGATCTTCTCTCTATCATGTTTTTGAACGAATGAGATACTGCTGGGGTCTTCAGCCTTTCATTATGTTTCCTTCGGCTTATGCCAGTATCCAGGCTGTGAATTACTTTGGGCGGTATTGGACATTAGCCTGAGCAGTGCACTCCGTGGATGTACTTGTGTTGTGATTTTGAACTCTTGTCAGGGTTGCGGATACCTCAAGCATCCAAACGAGAAACGATGTGCATCACCCTCTCCAAAGAATGGATTTAGTGTAACCCAGATGTCCACGTGTCCAGCGGCCGGTACAAGAGGTAGCTGTTTCAAGGAGGGGTTTGGTGTAAAGCGTCAGATTAATCAGATGTTCATCGCTAGTAAATGACATCAAACAGAACCGTCTTATGTCGAGTCATGTCGGTTGCATGTCTGTTGTATTTAGTTTACTCAACGCTCTGATACTTTTGTGCTGTGTTTGCTTGGTTCAGTGATTATTACTCACTGCACAGATTGAAAAACAGTCCTCAAATTTTCTAGATCGATCACGAGGACAGAATAGGCATTCGTACGCTTGCACAAAAAAACTTACACATGTGGGCTTAAAGACTTAAAGTAATTGACACAATACTGCAAAAGGGACACTGAAGAAAAGCTACAATGTCACGTGCGTACCAGGAAATATAAATTGATGAAACGGTATAGGCTAGGCCGAGAAGAGCAGATGTCAGCAAAGCACATATGCACGCCGGAAAGGGTTTTCTTCACCAAAGGAACGTCAGTAACAAAAACACATATATGCACGCCGGACAGGGTTTTCTTCACCAAAGGAACGTCAGTAATGAATCATTCCATAATGCTATGGACCAGCTGTTTCACTTAGCAGGGAGCAGATATCTACGGTCTCCACTTAGAAAATAGGCGTACATTCACAGTTAGTTTCTTCTATTACGGACTTTCATTTTACTCACTGTGTATCGTATCTGACTGTAGTGGCATCAAGAATATTTCGAATTCAACCGTGAGCGCAACCGACTATTGATCAACCACTCTGATCCCCAGACAACACCTTCGAAATCGCATGTTCACGACATCATCTACAAACCTGCCAGTTAATCAGAATTTATTCTACCGCCAATCATCACTCCCCTATATCCCTTCAATCTATAAGAGACTAATTGATTTTATGTGAGTAGCTGAGTATAGACCCCCTTAATGCGGCATCTCTATTCTGATCATAGTTCCCAAAAGACGTGAGGTTCAGATGCCTCCTAAAATCTTCACTTTTATGTTCGAACGCCTTTTTAAGGTCAGAGCAAACTGTGAAGCAAACAAGCGACTCACGCGCAGACATTAACAATTCGTTT